ACATCTTAACATGAACTTGTCTTCATAATCTAAGAGAAGTGTCACATTACTAACATAATGTAACATAATTTAACATGACTACCTAGCATAAAGGATCTCTAGCATAACACCAACAGTGTTAGCTTGCACAACAGGACTCATCAGAAAACATGTCACAGAAATGAGCTCTATTAGTGTTGCACTAGAGATCTCTTATGCTAGCATAATGTAATTTGCATTAGCAGTATGCTACTATAGGATACTACTCTACATAGAATAGTTGAGTTGGAGGAGGCCATTAATGCCACTAGGTCCAACTCCCTGCTGTTGCCGGACATTAGTTTACCTCATCCCTCTCAGATGACTGTCCAATAAAGGGGGGGGGGACTCCACAGTGAGTAGACAAATCTACATTTTTAGACATGTGGAAAAAACACTCCAGCATGGGATTTTATTCTTTAACACTGCCCTCCCTAACCCAACACTTTGGGATGTGTTGTACTACAAGCTCCATCATCCCTACTCTGTATGACAACAGGACTTATAGCTCAAGAAATAGCAAGAGATCAGGGAAGACTGTTGTAATACAAATCATTCTTACATTTTCACCAAAGACTCTTACTTTAGGAGATGTGCTAGCAAATATTGAGCAATGAAGTTTAGACTTTGTGAGTTGATTTCTGTTTCTTAAACAGAAAGCCTTGAATACAATTGAAAAACTAGGAAAGTATAAGGAGTGTAGCAGAAATAAAGCATTCTGTGTGAAAGACAGATCAAGGGAATCACAGAGAAAATCTGTAAATGGTTTAATGAACTTAAACTCATGAATTCAATATGTACTATAGCTGTTCAGGGGCTTGGATTCAGAAATGTCTTGCACAAGCAGAAAGGTACCTCTGCTGGTCCAAAACACCCTGCTGAATTCTTCAGTTCTACTGCAATCCCCTTGGTCCTCCTTGAGTGGCTTTGAGGGATGCAATTCAAAATGCTGTAGTCTGAGAGAGGAGCCAGAGAACACTTTTACTGAAGCACTTTGCTTTTCTTTTTCTGGATACGTTTTCTTAATAAAAAGTAGTGGAGAGTGGAGAGATACAATAAGTGCACATTGCGAACTCTAGTTATAATTTAATGGAAAGGCAATATAAAACATTGCTCATATTTTGTTGTGTGACCGTGAAACTCAGGATCATTTGGCATATACATCTTTTTGAAAGATTTTGGAAATACAGTGAAACGTGTACAGCAGAAGCATTCAACAGCTAAGCATTAACATCTGGCCTTAAATTATAATAGGTGTGAGAAGAGGAATTGTATATGATTTTAACAGATGAATCTCAGTAATGTTTATGTATTTAGGCTAGTCTTACGGGAACTATCAGGATGTACTTTCTGTATCTTCCAGGCCCCAGGTACATAAATGAGTAAAAATGCCTTTCTCAGCTGGCCTGTTTCTGTGATAAGGGTCTTTCCTAACCTCTTATAAGCAGTGGGCTAAAGTAGTAACTGGTTCTTTGCTCTATATGAGTGTCAGGATAAGACAGAAAGCCTTCCTTGATATGTGAAATCCTTTCTTGCATTATGGAATTAAAATTAGCAACAATATCTGACTGCTTACTCAAATAGAAAAATATGAGGACACTTATTTCTCAGTAGTTGAGAATAGAAGTCTTCATTTGGATTCTCTAAAGCACTTTGTGGATGAGTTTTATGTTGGTTTGTAATACCTTTTCTGTACCTGTTCCCTGTTTATATGGTTTCATAGAAATGAAATAAAAACTGAGACCAGCAAAATACGGGTTATTGTTGCTTTATTGGTCCCTGAAAATGAAGAGTGCAAAGTAGGATGAGCCAGTTTTGCATGATGGTTAGAACATGGAACTAGTAACCTGGAGGATCTGGTTTCTAGGTGACTTTGGACCAGTCATTCTTTCTCAGCCTAACCTACTTCAGGTTGCTGTTGCTGTGAGGAGAATCTTGTAAATTGCCTCTCTTCTTCACAAGAGGAGAAAAAGTGGGATATATGTGCACTATAGATAATAATAATGATAATACCACCTTTTGTTAAAACATTGTGGTAATCTGCCCAGACAGCTTTGGCTGTGGGACTGTATAGAAATATACTTATAATCCCTGAGAGTGAAACATACAAGTTTTTGCGGAAGTGCATAGCTTTGTGTGCAGTACTTGAAAAAGATTTTTAATTGTGCAATACAACCCAAACCAAACCAAACTGCAGCATTAGAGTAGAAAAAAAGAATATTTATTTGTATGCCGTCCCATCGCATAGCCTCCGGACGACTTACATAAAATAAAACATAATACACATAAAATCCAAATCCACCTTGGCTGCAGATTAAAACCTATAAACTGATGATAAAAGTTATTAAAATATTGTTGAAATAAAAAGATCTTAACCTGGTGCCGAAAAACAAATAACGACGGTGCCAGGCGGACCTTTCTGGGGAGTGCATTCCATAGGCTGGGCAACACCGCAGAGAAAGCCCTCCTCCTGGGTACTTTGCCTCCTGATGTCTTTCACGAAGGGTTCCCGGAGGAGTGCCTCTGCTGCCGATCTCAGGGGGCAGGAGGGCAAATACAGAATAGAATAAACTGAAACGGGACAATTTTTGAATAAGATTTTAAAAACACCTAATACTAGTTGGTTCCTGTGAAACTTGACTGCATGAAAGTTACAATGTACATAGGTGTTTCTGTGGTCATATGCTTTTAGATAGTTTTGCTATTATGTGGCAGTGTCCAGTCTGCCAGTTGTGCTAAAATAAATTATGTGAATGAGCTTCAGCAACCTCTGGTGCAAGGCTAATAGCATTTGCTGGTGTGACAGGTTTCCCAAGAAAACCTACTGCATGAGCAAATGCTATTGGCGAGGCTCCAGAGGTATAGAACCAATATATAGTTTAAGGACTTTATTCTTTTTTAAGTGTGCGCATGCTCTTTATTTATTAAGAACATAAAGAACTTGACTTTCCAATTTCATTGCATCATACTGTTTTAATTTAATGGAATGGCATACCTTTTACATATTTCATTGATTTGGCAATGCTGTAAAGGAAAGAAACATGTCAACATTCATGCAAGATAGGTCTATTAAGAAAAGCTGCCATAATTTCTACACAAACCTATTCCTGTTCAGAAGCAATGTACTTCCACCTTTGCCTTCCTTTGTGAGTTTCTTGGAGGTAGTTGGCTGTTATTTGAAGGAGAATATTGCCTATGCAGATCTTTGGCCTGATCCATATACACCAAATTCTTATTTTCTAAAACCTGTAAAATAAACAGCCCAACAACCTTTTCTGGGATATGCACAGAAACTGTCCCAACATGCTTTGCCCCCTGCCCTGGTATGTTTTACTGCACTGAACATCACTGATCAGCTGTTTTAACATCACAGAAGGTGAATTCCATTCAGTTTATCACTTTAATTTTTCATTTGCTTCAGAGGAACTTACTACTTATTTGATTCTGTCTTGCTGACTTGAGTTTTTAATGGGGTGGGGGGAGTCAAATATGTCAGGGGTCCTCAAACCTTTTGAACATGTGTGGCGAGCTATGGCGGGCTGGATAAATGGGCATGATGGGCCGGATCCAGCCCGTGGGCTATAGTTTGAGGACCCATGAAATATGTACTAAGTCCCACAGAATCAAATGAAAGTTAAAATAAATATGTGTGTGCACATCAGGAGAAGGCAGAGCAATGGGAGTTTACAAACTGTTTTTTACATGGAAAAACTTTGACAAATCTCATAGTATATTTCAGTATTTCAAAAGTGAAATTATTGCTACATTTTGTTTCAATTTTTTAACACTATTTGTTATGGCAGCTATAAAGAGCAGAGGAATGTTATTCACATGGTTACAGGAGTTAGATAATACCATAGAGCACCCTTTCCAAACTGGTGCCTTCCAAGCAATTTGGATTACCCTTCACATCATCCCTGGTCTTTGATCATGGTCTCTGAGGTTGATTGGAGTTGGAGTTCAAAAGAACTCGGCAGAGGGTCTGCTAGAGTGCAGCTAGTTTTCAGTGCTTGACCAGAATAAACAGCTGAGCTTCTTTTATATAGGGTCTCACTTTAAAAGAGCTTTTCTCACCCTCCAGATGTGTCTGGTGACAATACTCGTATGTCCCAGCCAACAATGTCAATAGTCAAGGATAATGGGAGTTATAATCCAAACCATCTGGGGTGCATTACATTTGGAAAAAGTTGCTTTAAAAACAAAGCATGGTTAGAAACAAATTTAATACAAAAATAGGGTTTACAACACTTCATCAGTTGCACTGTGAAGCTACCCTCACAACTAAACGGACAAAGGGGTATCCTAACAAGATATATTTTTAAATATGGTTAACACTATATATATGTATGTTTATTTATTTACTTAACACAAGCACTTGTGTTACTTTTTATACTCAGCATAGGCTACGAGACTGCTTTGTAGAAAGTAATGTTCAAAATATTAGTTGGAACTTAGAAGTTACACAGAAATGGATTTGTCAAAGGATCTCTTTACAAAGTAACATTTTTTACTTAGTAAAGGATCGAGAAGACATACAAAACTCAGCCATGAAAATATGCTAGGTTTCAAAGCATCATGTTTGGAAGTAGGCAGGAGATGTTTTATGAAGTTATCTTGCTTGAAAATGATCTAAAAATGATGAATGTGCTAACTTTAACATTAGATATGTGTTTATTAAAATTTTATTTAGTTGCTGTTGTAAAGGAACTTAGAAATTTAACAACATCGGTCAGCTATCTCTTGATTTCCCTCCTTCCCAGGGATTCATTGTGTGATTTCCATTCCTCACTCCTACCATAGATAGATTCCAACAATTGTATTTCAGATATTATGGTTTTCCAGGGTTTTGTAGCATCCAAATGTTTACTCTTTTTGTGGTTGTTAACAGTATTTTTGGAATTGGTGTGTTTAGATGGTGATCAGTATTTTATATGCTAAATTCATAAAACTATTATCAAAGCATACTTTGAAACTTTTCACAGGTACATCTACCTTTATTGAAGCATTGACAACCAATGGTACCAACATACAGACATCAGTAACAGGAGTAGCAGCAAGCAAACGAAAATTTATTGATGAAAGGAGGGACCAGCCTTTTGATAAAAGGCTACGATTCAGTGTGAGGCAAACGGAAAGTGCTTACCGGTACAGAGACATTGTTGTCAGGAAACAAGATGGCTTCACACACATTTTATTATCAACAAAATCATCGGACAACAATTCATTAAATCCAGAGGTTAGAACCATTGGCTTACTTCTGATTTTTGAGAGGGAGGTGTGGTGATATTCCTGATAGTATGTATTATTTGTACAGCATAATTTTTAAAAGGAAATTTACAGGTCCAAAGTATAAATTCTTTCTTACCAAAGGGAGAACAACATAACAAAGGTGAATGTGAACATACTTAACCTTTGGATAACATTAGAGATGAGGACTAGGACTTTAAGAATGGGAAACTGATTTTTAGGAATTATTTAGGAGAGAGAGTTGACACCCATATGTTTTCAGGGATCAAGTCTGAGTTTATAGAAAGCAGTAATGAAGAATGAATGAGTATTGTTGAGCAGGAGATGAATTCAGGCTGATGAAAGTGGTGGAAGAGTAAAGTTCTTAGGCAGAAATGTAACAAAATAAGGTCACACAAATGTGCAAGGCTGTGTTCTGATTTTAAGAACAATTTGTTAATTTTCAAAAAACTGAACATTAAAGTTAATGGGGCTAGAGTTCTTGTAGCAGAGTTGCAGGCTTGATGCTTCAGATCATTTTAAACATTTCTTTTTGTTTTGTTGCAATTTTGTATCTTGAATCTTTATTTTGTTCATTAATTTATAGGTTATCATATTTATTAAGAATTAAAAGTGTTTCCATCTAAAGTAAATTTAAAACATTCTCATGCTGTAGTCCTATCTTACCTGGGAGTCAGCCTCACTGAATTCAGTGGGACGTATTTCTGAGTAACAACACAATCCTATGCATATCTAATATTTTCCTGGTATGTACTTGCAATGTATTAAATTGCTATTCCCTTTTTAATACGAAAAAGAAACTTTGAAATGAACTTTTCAGATTTTGTTGAACTGGTTGCATATGCCACCTGCTGTTCAGACCACAGAAATGCTATATGAAGGTAAAATATTCAGATACAATATTCTGTACCTATTTTCATATGCTTAATATGTCTTACTTCCAGGTAATGAAAGAAGTTCAAAGTGCACTGAACACAGCAGCAGCTGATGACAGTAAACTTGTACTCCTTAGTGCAGTTGGCAGTGTTTTCTGCTGTGGCCTTGACTTCATTTATTTTATTCGACGCTTGACAGATGATAGAAAAAGGGAAAGTACAAAAATGGCAGATGCTATTAGGTTTGTAAAACTCTTTTTATAACTGGCTAGCAAATCATGAACTCAGGAACTAAACTCCTTCATGCAACAAGTAATCAAATGCCCGGCTATAGTATCAAAATAGCTACTCTGCTCACATGTTGAATAATATTCACAGCCTGAAAACTCAATTAAATGAGAATATCAGTCCATTTGGAGACATTAGAAGTGCCCACTTCAAATTTGTAAAACCTTTGAGGGACAATATATTTCCAAAACATTTTTTAAAAAATTGTGTCTAAAATGGTCTCATCATTGTTGGAAGCACAATTGTTGGAAACAACATGGTCCAATAAAAGGTGTCTGGCTGCACTGAATTTTTTTCCCTACACAACTTGTGCTACAATTTTTCTCTTTGTTTCAGAAAGGTTAGTACTGCTATAAGCCTAGCTCTGGTGTGCTCTCCTTTTTTCCTCTGCTCACAAGAAGAAGGAATGCGAAACTTCCATTAATAGTTTGTAACAAACTACCATTTACTGTTTTCTCTGAATGTGAGAAACCGTAGTTTCTGTCAACCATAGTTAATAATCAGACAGTATCAAACCAAGATCCTAACTAACAAAGTCCAGCATAAGAAGATTTTGCTGAAGGGAAAAAACAAGAAGTATTATGGTATTGATACTCATTGCCAGATTGTGATTATATTTTTCCAGGTAACTGAAAAAAAGTTTCTAAATGTTTAAACACATTTTAGGAATATGGTTGCTATTCTTTGCAAATAAAATGTTAATTTAGAAGCAGTGGCCCTACTTTAAAAGAAATGCCTGTCTTCCATCTGTATAAATATTAATTACAAATTATGTTATGTTTCTATACCAGCTTTGTTAATCTTAAATGGATGGATGAATTGTTTAGTCAATGAATCAAGTTGAAAGTATTTTAAGTGTAGAAACTCATCTTTTCCTATAAAATGCCTTATATTAACATTTCTAAGAATGTGGTGAGAATTAACTCTGTTGAGGATAACGTGGGCCACATTCTGAAATTGATTACCATAGGATTTATTTATTTTTGTGGAATGTGAGAGGGCAAAATAAGAGAGAAGCCTCTGGCTGCGTTTGCATGACACATTAATCCACCATGCTACTCATTGAGCTACTTGAGGTGGGATGTTCACAGAACAACCAACTGTGCACCTAGCTTACTGTGGCTTGTCCTTCTCTTCCTTTCCCCCTTGGTATTGCAGCTGGTGTGCCAGTGTCTTTCATGGAAGAACTTGTCTTGTATTCCCCTCCCCACTCCAATCAATGCCCCCTTTGCTGCTTTTTTTCTTGCACATCTTCAAAAATATGAAATTGTGGTCCTTTTAAAATGTTCAGCCCCAGAAAATGGTGCAAATGTGTTCATAATTTTTGTTAACATCTTCCCCTGTCAATTTCCATGCATGTTACCTATTCCCTTGGCCACATAAAATAGACAAGAATGTTGAGTGGATGAGATTATATAAATTGGACTGCTCTAAAAGTGTACTTGGGCCCTTAAGAAAATGTAGTGGTGGTGCTGCTGGTGGTAATTTAATGAACATATCTGTACAATTTTTCTTCCACCCCTCAAAACAAAAAAAGTTAGGAAACCAGTAGTCATGGTCACTCCAAAGTGTCACTTAGGCATTAAGCGAAGAGGCTGTCACTAGGACAGCAAGAACAAGACTGCAAAGAGTGGCAGAGGTTTTGCCAGTCTTGTCAGACAATTTGCTATCCAGTTTCTACAACCCAAGATGAAGTGCTTTCTCAAGTTCAAACAACATGGTGACCTCTTGTGCACTGAACATTCTCTAAAGCAAAATTTTGCTTTAATGTTGCTGAAAAATAAGTCACCCTGTAGGAAATAGTCTGGGTCCAGACAACACAAGCATGTATTGTGGCTACAGGTGATGAGTAGTCATGTCATGTCAAATGCTATCCAGTCAGTAGTTCATTAGTTTAAAAGAAAACCAATATCATGTCAATGTTACTTTAATCGCCTGTGTAAGTATACTGACAGCATAGGTATAAAACCATGCTAATTTTTTCAATATATTGAAACAAATCTTGATCCAGGTGCAAAATCTGAAGGTACAAAATATAAGAAGGCTTAGCAAAATAGTGTAGAGGTCATTTACCTGAAGTCTGTGAACCTTTTCTGTATAAGAAAAGATCTTATACAGTAGAGTAAAGTAGAGTAAATATGTGGAACTCATTTTCTCTCTCCTCCCCTAAATGAAAATGAATTTCTAAAAGCATGATACATTACATTAAAAGTAACATTCTAATAGAAAATAAGTTACCGTGTTTCCCCAAAAACAAGACTTAACCAGAAAATAAGCCATAGCATTTTTCAGGATGCTTGTAATATAAGCCCTACCCCAAAAATAAGCTTCAGTTAAGATCATCAGCCAGACAGACGGGGAAACACAGTAGTACATCCATTGCAATACACGATAGAAGTATTGAATTATAAAATAATAATGTTAATATATAAATATGAATAAATAACATTGACATTAATACTTAAAATAAATGATAATATACATTATAACTAAGTATTTGTAATTACTGAAGTGGGCGCCTTTGGACGAGAGGTAAACAGATGAACGCGAGACTTCTTGCCAAATGACCAATCAGAGTACAGTATGAGGTACTGAGGTAGCACCAGGGCTCCCTCTTCTGGCCAGACACCAGAATAGCAGCCCAGGTGGTTGCGATTGACTGTGGGCCCTGCAACCCACCAGGGCTGCTATTCTGGTTTCTGGCCAGAAGAAGGAGCCCTGGTGCTGCCCCAGAACCTCACATGCAGACAAAACATACGAATAACGTCAATAAGTCATGTGTTGTAATGGATGTACTTAATGCATGGATGCAAAATGCAAGATGGCTGAGAAAAGAAAAAGCTATTCTGTCAAGTACAAGAAAGGAATCGTGGAGGACTCTCGGGGCAAGAATCTTACGGCTTTCGTAAGAAAAAAAAAAGACATCACTTGAAAATAAGCCCTAGTATGTCTTTTGGAGCAAAAATTAATATAAGACCCAGTCTTATTGTCAGGGAAACACGGTATTTTAATAGAGATTCCTGCCTTGTGGATCTTGCAAAAATTACCTGATGTCTCCAGTTAGAAAACAGCTTTCTGTTTTATTTTCCTCCTTATAATCTAAAAGAGTCCTCTCTACTTCACATTAACTCTTCCTTCCATTTTTTCCCAATTGATGCTTGATTCTTACAACTGATTTGCAGTCCATTATAGTCCATCCATTTGTATTTGGTTATCTGTGTGGTTGTGGTAACCAAGATTTTTGAAAAGCTTTGGGAACACTCTGCTTGTAATGGTTATTAAGGTGTGGATGTGGCCAAAATGTGATTTGTCATTTAATATGTATTTCATTTCAGGAATTTTGTAAATACTTTCATTCAGTTTAAGAAGCCTATCATTGTAGCAGTAAATGGCCCAGCCATTGGACTTGGAGCATCTATATTACCTCTGTGTGATGTTGTTTGGGCTAATGAGAAGGCATGGTTTCAGACTCCATATACGACATTTGGGCAAAGTCCTGATGGATGTTCATCCCTCACATTCCCAAGAATAATGGGCCTGGCATCTGTAAGTAATCTCTAATAGAAATACATGCTGTAATTATTTATGATGTTTGCCATTTTGGTGCTCCCACTTTCCTCATATGTATCTGACATAACCTAAGAATAACGATACCCTCTGAATGCTTCTCTAAGCACAACTAATAATAGCCCTTTGAGCTTATGGAGGCGAGCCCACATATATTCCTCCAAATTGTTACAGTTTTATGAGCAAGTACACCCAAGATGGTGTTGTCTCAATTTAACATGTGTGCAACAGAAAGTACATTCCATCCTCAAAAAAGGCAGCATTTCAACTGCTTGTTCACTGGAAAACCATATTCTACCATTCTGATCTGTAAAATCTGAGTGTTTCTGTTGAATTGCTCCAGAATGTTGATGTGTTAGAGTGCAAATACTTCTGACTTCTGATCATGCATGATGCAACTTAGACACAAATTCGACTTAAAGGTGAATTCCCATTTTCTTAGGAACAGAACTCATTCATAACCTAGGGACTGTCTGTATATGTCTCGATAAAGAGGTTCTAGCATAATATAGTCAAGCCTTAAGCATGAGTTCTTCATTGTGGTTTCTATGCATCACACATATGGGTTTTACCATGGAGCTCAAGGCCCAGATCAGAAAGAAACTTCCAGAGCAAAGCGTCACAAAGTGGGCGGGTGTCCCCATCTCTTCCAGGTCCTAGGAAAACTTTGTCTGTTTTCTTTCTGACCACACTAGTCACTGCATCGCCTGATCAAATCAACTTCCGCACTGTTCTTTTATGAGTTGTGAAATGCAGAAAAATATGTGCAGTCTATACATACAGGATTGTAAACCATCAAATAACCAATTAGCTGTGCTTTATGATTGATAGGACTGCAGGGTTATTTTTCTGGTTTCTTGATTAAAAATGTCAATTTTGCTGAAACAAGGAATGGACAACTGAAATGCCAATCTAGCTAACATTGTCCCCAAGACAGGTAATCTAGCACAGAAATACTTGTCTGGGAATTTTCCTTCCTGGTAAATGCCAGGCTATGCATTACATGAGAGATGTGTGATTGGATTTAAAAATCCATATCCTTTCCTATTTGTGGTAGAAACTGTTATAATGATAAGTGGTATTTTAAGTTGATGCAGTCTGACAGTTTAATTAACCTAGTTAATGCATATGTCTGGATACTTTGTTTTTGATAAACGAATGCTCACTAAAATGTAGTCTTACTCAGGAAGTTGCTACTGATAAAACTGTTAGAGGTTTAGAAAGACATCTAATTACAAAGAGTAAAATTGATGGTGTTTGACTAAAGCTTCTGTCTATTTAGTATATTTAAAAGTTGGCAGGTTAGGTTTTGTTTACATTGTGTTGTTTGTACCCTGGAATGTTGCTCAGGTGTCTTGCAAGTTCAGATAGCAACATAATAATATGAATCTTAGTTACAGAAAAGTTCTTCACCCTGAAACTTTATGTTTTCAATACCTTTTGTTCTGCATTTTATATTTTTCCCTGAAGATATTTAAGAATTGAAAACGCTTTTGTGATTTCCCAGTTGTAAGAGAGTTCCATAGTGACAGTGCTCTCTTGTGAAACCAACTGTGCAATATTTGAAATGATATCAGGGCAGCTGATTCTCTTACCATAGTTTTATCTTTTCCTCCTGTACATATTTTTCTGAATGCAGGAATCCGCTTCTGCATTCAGCAGAATGTTTAATTTCCTGAAAGAGGTCTTAGATATATTCTGGATATGACAAATCTTAGAAAGTTGGTTTGGACCATCATGGCCAAATATGATATTGCATGTTAAGTGGCAAAAAAATTTTCTCATCTGTTTGGTTTTATGTTACTACTTTAACATTTGACATTTTTAGACAGGTTCCCAAACTTTCCCTGGGGAGCTAGTGACTGACTTCTACATGTTAACATGCAATAGGCATTTGTTCCCAGTTCTATAAAATATTAAGCTGAAATATCAAAGTGCTTACTATCTGCAAAGTTTGGGATGTTCTGCTTGTATAAATAAAGCTACTGAACAATATAAATGTAAATTGTTTATAAAGAATTGATCAGTTAATGTAAATAAATATTTTGCTTGATTTTATCTTAATGCTTAAATTATTAATATTTGTGAGACACAAATCTTTAAGCTGATTTCATTTGTTGATGTAAGCACATGTACACATATGCCAAGTTGAAAATCAAGCTGGTTTTGGATTGACCTGACTTCAAGAAGTGGTTTTAGTATTAGTAGAAGAAGTAGAAGGGCTGTTTCAACAAGAATCTACAAGGGAGCCCCAGGAACAGAAAACTCTTTGGGCATGTAGGTGCCATCCTTGGGCCTCTTTAAGATCCTGCAATAAACATTGTAGGTTGAGCTCTAGGACATGCATAAACAGTAGCACTGACATGATTTTTGGCCTTTCTGAGTGAACTGCACAAGAAAGGTTTACTATCTTCGTTTGTTCTTTTCATTAATTGTCCAACATGCAAGCAAGTAAATATTACTGTTATTCATATATTCTTAGGAAGTTGCAGTAATGCCAGAAGTTTGGGGCTCTTGCATAACAATCTTCATCAAGCCCTCTGTACTTGTCTAGATGATACACTCATTGTGCATTTGAAGTCCTATTGGTGAAAATGAGCCTACAGGTGCAGGTACTACTTAGTACTCCAGCCTGCTTGACCACTTGTCCCATAAGGATTTAGCACTTCTCAAGTCAACTGAGAACGAATGGGAATGCTTGTTGTGGAATGGAGCAGGTCTGCAGAGCTTGCAGTTCTGTTGGGCTGTCCTGCTCCAGAAATGAGCAATTCTGCTTTTGTCCACTGGGGAAGCAGCTACTCCTGCTGGCACAATGCAGTCAGTGACAGTGCAGCAATGCAGCCCTCCGTGTCCAGGCCTACAGCTTATTCACTGCATAGCCATTTTATATCTTGAGTTTTGGCTTCCACAGTTGTAAAAATGCCAGTTACTTGTAAGTTTGTGAGTCATTTTGTGATGTAACTCAAAGCCACACTATCATTATGCTAGTGATATGTCATGTTAAATATGTTCAGTCTGCTGGCTTTTTTCTTGCATCATGTTTAGTTCGCTCATTAATTTTAGTTCATCAGCTATGGTCTAGTATTCTCAGTATTCAACAGCTTTATCACAGCTAAATCCATTTATTTATTTATTTATTTATTTAAAATATTTATATGCCATCCTATTCACAAAAAAGCCTCAGGATGGCTTACAATATAAAATATAACATAAACAACATAAATAAATTCCCGACCTGCACTGGCTGCAGTTAAAAACATAGAAAAGACAATATTAAAACTTATTAAAATACTGCTGGAATAAAAAGGTCTTAACCTGGCGCCGAAAAACAAATAACGACAGCGCCAGGCGGACCTCTGGGGGGTCCTGTTATGTGTGAAAGTTTATACATCCAAATAAAAAATACACCTACAGTGTCAGCATTGTGAAGCTTGTACAACAGTTTTATTACATACTGGAATAGCAGCTCATAAGATTAGCCCTCCTAGCTTGTAATTCCATTGATTGCAGTGGGTCTGAGGGGTATCTCACACAAAAACTTTCGCTACTTTAAATTGTTCTCAGTGGTGACTTTCTGGCAAGTCAGAGCAAAAATAAACATTGTTTTAATCATGTATCACTGAGTTATGACCAGTTGTCTCCCCTACTACTCCAGTAAGCATTAATGATCAGGACTGTGGCTTCACAGCAGAGCAGGGTTTTTACTCCCAAATTCAATTGCCCAACATGGAGGGAAACTTTAAAAAGAAAAGAAGATCTGCATTGATTCGAATGAAGACTTTTCTCCCTTTTTTCAACCCTTACCCATAGGGGGTTGAAATGGAGTGGGGGGAATACACATTTTGATTGAAAAATATGTGCATTTTTAAAATGCACACCTTTCCCCAATTTTTTAAAAATTACACATTTCCCTAGCAAATATATTTTCCCCTTTAAAGGATGAGAATGCAAAATTTGGGGGGATTTATGCAACAGCCAACACATTTTCTGAAGCACACATTTGTGTATCTGCATATTTTTGAATGTGGGTATAAATTGAGGAAACTTCCATGAATTGCATTCCTCTTTGCATTAGTGGTTGGAAATGGGGCATGCTGGCATGACTGTCAAATAGGAATGAATTTCTCCACTTGGATTACATCAGGTCAATAAACCTATTTAAATGGGAGTAATTGTTTTTTATATTGGGCTATGCTGCATCCTATGCTGCCTTTGCTCTCACTCCTGCTGCCTTACCAGATTTATTGTGCTTGTACCCAGGGTCACTTCTGGAGGAGACTGGCTGTTCAGTAGCATCTATCAACACACTTCTATACACATATTCAGAGGGCTAAAGTTGTGTATTTTTCCAAGTCTTTTGATGCAAGCTTAGATTCAGAGATAAAGTTTTAATCTTCATTATCTAGAAATAATATGTAGAGCCAGTACAGTGTAGTCATTGAGAGTGCTGGACTAGAACTCAGGTGGTTGTTAGGATAAAATGTAGAGAAGGAGAACACTGTAAGCTACCTTGGCATCCTTGCAAGAAGAAAGAAGGTGGGATATAAATGCAGTGTAATAATAATCATAGAAATTATGTGCTTACATAAATCATGGCAAGGTTACTTTTCTGTTTTCTGCTCTATCCCTGCTAATTTATAATGTATTTTAGTGCCCCAAATTACTGTTTTGTTGAGAACTTGTCTCACTCTTAAAAGTTGTGTTCTAGGTTTGCTATCAATAGGATGTGTTAGATATTAGTAGTTTCATTGACACCGCAGCCCATGAGCATCATTGAACTTCTCTTTTACGTTGATTGGCCCTTCTCTCTAAATGAAAGGGACATTCTGAAGTTACTCTTGTGCTGGCCATTCAGACAGAACACAGGCAGTGGCTTAGTTAAACTAATGTCTTGCCTGTATTGACTTGGAGCATCTTCATGCTTAGGGGTAGGAGAATTGAGGCTGTAGATTGAAATTAAGAGGTCCATGATCAACATGTGAGAAACTCACTCTTTACATCATCAGCAGCAGCCCACTCAATTTTAGATTGTATCTTGGTATGGCTGATTTCATTGGAATTTGAGCATTCAGTTACAGACACTGACAGCAACACACAGTCCTTATGTATGGAATCATTAGGAGCTTGGATCTGGTGCACAGAGAGACTTGGTTCTCAAATATAGATAACTAAGTGGCTGGCTATATTCTAAAAATTTAGCCTGGGTGGAATGTAACTACAAATCATGTCAGTGCTGGAACATTTGCATCACAAGTCTTTTAACAAAAACGAATTCAAGTGGAAATAGTTTTACAGTTTTTCATGAACATTCAAGGCTGCTTTCCAGATTAAACAAAGACAACAGGAATGGAGTTCAAAAAACAAGAGTATCTCCCATTTTTAACATTTTTCCCCAACAGCCAGCAATAATCTTTTGTCTCAATATAAAACCAAAAGCACCCACTGAATTGAGTGTGCTCTGTTTCAGGATCAAGCTAAGTGTTTACTGCTAAAAATTGTGCATTTATCACAATTTGGAACTGTTTTTAGCTATGTGTTGATACGAAGATTTTCTCACATCCAAAAATGCAGAACTTTCATAATTTAAAAAATTGCTATTGTAAAAAAATACGAACATAATTTCATTTGAAGGACCTTTCAAGTATGTAATCTATTCACTAGAAAATGTTTTAAAGAGCTGATTTGTTTAGAAAATTTAAGTATCTTTATTCCTTTCTTGCTAACAAACCATCTCCTAACAGTATCACTGAATGCCTGCTTCTTCTGCATAGCTTGTATGGGTCAAGCCATTTCGTATCCCTTTGTGTATCAGTCTGACTGCAGACTTGCATTGGTTGGTCAGTCAACTGGTGAAGTTTGAATTTCAAGGCATATGTGTTTCCCACAGCAATAGTGAATGAAACATATATTAATATATACATATTTTGAAATATTAATGTTTCTTTCTAATACTGATTGTGTTTTTAAATTTAAATTGTTCTTTCTTCCTTCATTATCTGACTCAAGTATCTATATTAAGGTTTTGGCAATATGTGCATTACATCAGTTAAGGCAAGTAATCAGTCATTCTTAAATGACTAATGATTTCTGCTCAGAGACTTTATAATCTGTGTCACTAATGTACAGAGGCTGGCATGTTGGCAACTGTTCAGGATAGTTTTGGTATTTTAGTTTATCTGGCATAAACAGAAGAAGGAAATGACATGCAAGTGAATCCTTCTAAAAATATTAGAAAACATGATTTTTAAATTCAAGATGTGTTGGTATCACATTATGTTTGTTTGTTTGTTAAAGTTCACATTGCAAATGTTTGTCTTCCCTAGGCAAATGAAATGTTATTTAGTGGACGGAAGCTGACTGCACAAGAAGCATGTGCAAAAGGATTGGTATCCCAAGTGTTTTGGCCAGGAACATTCACACAGGAAGTCATGGTTCGCATTAAGGAACTCGTCACATGTAATTCAGTTGTAAGTTGCTTTTATCATACTTTGAGACTATGTAAGCATGGTATTAAATAGTGACTAAGGACCACTTCACAGTGTACTTTTGCTATTTGTGACTGGTACTGAAAGTTCTCCTTGGCCACAGGTATGCCTTAAATCATGGGAAAACTGCACCATGAACTGGGCAGTGCATAAATGTTGCTAGTGATATAAACATTTCCTTGGTCACTCATTGTATGTGACCAACCAAGTTGTTCCAACTTGCATCCAAGGAAAAGGGTCTCTGTTAACTGCTGCCATGAATGCTGTCCTAACATCCAAAGAGGAGCTGTCCATATTTATAATCAAGTTCACATTCAGGTATTTAATATCTTATGGACACTTTTGCGTAAATGTTTTTGATGCTTCAAAGTAAGACTAACTTTTACACACATGCGGACAGAGCTAGTCAGAATGTCTTGTTCTAAGCAATCCATTGGACCCAAACTCTTCTTTGAAATTAATAGGATGAGTTAGTTATGAATGGATATATAGTCTTTGGCCAGGGGAAGTTTCACAGATTCATAGAATAATAGAGTTGGAATAGCCAGAAGGCCATTGGATCCAGTCCCCTGCTCATTGCAAGACACCAAATTAAACAATCCCTGCAGATGCCTTTCCAGCTGCATCTTGAATGCCTCTACTGTGGGAGAGCCCACCACCTCCCTAGTTAATTGGTTCCATTGTCATATGGCTCCAACAGTCAGGAATTTTTTCCTGCTATCTAGCTGGAATCTGGTTTGCTGTCACCTGAACACATTATTCCATGTCTTGCACTCTGGAATGATGGAGAAGATAGCCTATCCTTCCTCTTAGTGAAAGCCTTTCAAGTACAGTGGTACTTCAGCTCACGAACGCCTTGGTTCATGACCAAATCAGGTCGCGAACAAAAATTTCATGAAAATTTTGACATGGGTCGCGAACTCTGCATTGGGTGGCCACCAAGATTGCAGCCATCCCCCCTCCCCCCCAAGTGGGGAGATGGCCATGATCGCAGTTGCATTCATGCAGGGAAGACATGCGTGATCACGGGCACGCTCCTGCAGGAAAGACAGATGCAATCCCGGCCAT